AGATTACTTCTTGTTGTTGGATTTCCTGTTAATGTATATCTAAAATACGTTATTAATAAAAACGAATTTTGCTTTGGTCTGCAGTCGGTCGGGAACATCATCAAGTGCTTCAACATCGTCGTCTTTATCCACATCATCTTCGTCAGTGTCAACATCATCGAGTGCCTCAACATCGTCGTCAGTATCCACATCATCAAGTGTATCAACATCTTCGTCAGTGTCGACATCATCCTCAGCATCTACATCATCTAGCGCTTCAACATCATCATCAGCGTCAACATCATCAAGTGCTTCAACATCGTCGTCAGTATCGACATCATCAAGTGCTTCCACATCCTCATCAGCCTCGACATCCTCAAGTGCCTCAACATCTTCGTCAATATCGACGTCATCAAGTGCTTCAACATCGTCCACACTGTCAACTTCATCAAGTGTTTCAACATCATCATCAGTGTCGACTTCATCAAGTGTATCGACATCGTCGTCAATTTCGACTTCATCAAGCATTTCGACATCGTCGTCAATTTCGACTTCATCAACCGCTTCAACATCATCATCAGCGTCGGCATTATTTTCTGCCTCGACACAAACTTCAACAAGGTATGAACTGCAGAGATTCAGTTTGGTGGCATATAACCAAATGAGACTCGAATCTCATCTTGCCACATTTCGAGACAGTAGCAATACAATAATAACCTTAATTGGTATGCTCTTGTTTCTACCATATGCTGATCAATATTGCAGAATTTCAAGAGAAGATTTTCTCACGTAGCCAAAAGAATAGTATACACTATCTTAAAAAACCCCTGGGGCCTCCCCATCATGGGTTGTTAAGGACTTAAGTTTAAACTTTAGTCTTACTATTTATAGAAAGTTTGATCCGAAAAATTCATCCATGTTTTTATTTTAGTGTATCTTCTTCAAGTTCATCAAGTGTGTCAACTTCCTCAAGGTATTTGAAATTTGTTTTGAGGTTGAGGTGCATCGAACTCAAATTTAATTGTATTAAAATGCTGTGAGGATTTAAAGATTAACTACTTTGTTTCCCTTTCCGACATTTTTAAATTTTGTTGTAGTGTGTCGACATCAAGTTCTGCATCAACTTCGTCAAGTGTCTCAACATCGTCCAGGTAACAAAGAATATGATGGTTTTACATCAGATCTTCATGTTAACTAGAAACAGT